CAACTAAATTCTCCAACAACCAGGCCATGTACGTCTGGCCTGCTTCTAAAACAGTCAAATCCCCACATCGTAGGTAAACCATTCCAAGAAAGACTTTCAAACGACCAAAGCGTAGCTCGATAAAAAACAATTCACATTTGTTTACCACCAGGGTTCTAAAAGTTATCTTTAACTTAAATCTCCAAGATGCAAAAATCCATACACCCCCATCCCTCCACGGGCGATCAATTCTACAAAAAACTTAGCCAGGAAGACGAACAGCACGATCAGAAATGTTACAGTCGAGCCATGTTTCCGAGACATCTAAAAATATCCACCTCGCCGTTCTCTAAAATCATTTCTATCTTATGCAGATGTGGAGCCAGAACAAGCAACCAGTGAATAACAAGACCATGGCACTACCTCCTAAAGAGAAGTAAATATCTGATAAAATCATTTGCTTGATACACTGGCCGGCTTAATACAATAGATACAAACAGGAGATCATATCAGAATGAGAAATTCAACGAAACCCTACATGAGCTCAGCATGGTACGTCATAAAATAAAAGCATATAATTAATCCTATCCATTTCAGAGTAAGCTAATGCAGACAAGTATGCACAAAAGTTACAGAATAAGCTTGATAATAAGGGTAATAGTCTATATAAAGCAGAGAAAAGCTAGACACAGCAAGAAACGTACAATTTTTACCATAAAATAAGAAAAGAGCATGACAGTATAAACATCAGAAACTTGTCCCTTTACTAACTCAGCACAGCTATGAATATCACGTTCGAAAATCATCTCATCAGAGAACGTAAGCATCGCAGTCTTCGACTTTATATTTAAGAATTAATCCATCTCGTCGAAATTTCAAGGACACCGCATTTAGCTTTCCAGCCATCGGAATCTCATGATTAGTTACAAAATCGGAAAAGAAAGGGAGAGAAGTTTATTAATTGGTCTTTATCCTCAATATTGCTGCATTTAACCGATTTATCCCGGCTGATATACAGGCACCCATTAATAGCCTCTAAATATATTTTGATACTAAGGGAATATGTAAAGTTTGTGGTCATTTTTGATAGATTTTTCAAACCCTTGGGCAAACCGGTTATTATGATATTCGAACTGTTTGACCTTTTGTAAAATGTATTTATTTTCGCCTGCAGAGTTGACGTCTTCGTAGTTAGCTCGAGTTCAAGTTTTTTAACCGACCGATGCAAAAGTCATCCATGGAGACAGATGGTTCCATCCTCATATCATGCGTAACTAAATAAATCGGCTGCTTAAGCTCACGTTTCATTTCCTGAACTGCACTATCCACAGACAATTTGAGCCCTTTGGTCCTATTGTTCAAAGAGCTGTCAACGGCCTTCTTAATCAGATCTATGTGTTTGGAGCATTCGTCTCCAATGAAATTACTTTTACAGGAAGAATTTGTGGCAAGGGTTTAACGTGGGTTCCTGCCTGAAAGGCTTAACCCCACGGTGGCCCAAGCCACTTTTAAGCGTACTACGCCCCCTGGCGAGTTAGACAATCCCCACAGAGTAGGGGCCTAAACAGCACCAGAGTCCAGATCAGTTTATTGTGTATGGAACAATAAACCCCACTCTGGTGAATGGCGAGGCCTAGCTGCACTCAATTGTTCCATTTTAGCTAGGAACTCGCCAACCACAACCACCACGAGTACTCCCCGAAGGGCCGCACCCAAGCAGTCAGGACTCACAAATTGATCAACTGACTGCTTCCGCCATAAGGCTTCCACTGTGCTGTTGATCAATTACCACCATTACCCGCAGGCATCCGTGACATGTGTTCAAAAGTAAAAATAGGTAAAAGGGGAAAACTTATTCGTCATATCCCTTTTCCATTTTTGCATGTATTAATTAATTTACCAGACATTTCCTATCAATCGGCCAAAGGGAAGGCCGTCCGTCAATTCCTTTTTGCATTAATAGTATAATTAATTTATTTATTACGACTTAAGGACAAAGTCCATCATATACCCGCAGGCATACGTGGCTTTGTGAGGCGAGCTTCCTGACCCCCGTGGCTCCCAGTTTGCTTTGCAAAGCCTTATGGCATACTTTGGGCGGTTGTTAAAAACAACCGTACTTGCTTCGGATTCTCCATACTTTCCTGGTTGCCAGCCCCAAGTGAACTACTTTTCTTCAAGATATATAGGTCTCGGGTATTGCACTGAACATGGTAGACTAGTCTAATGCACTCTACCATGCACTCGCTAGATTACTACCTTGATTGTACTTAAATACCATTCAATATATTTCCTCGGTAGTAACTAGCTTATTGAGTAAGAGCTCTTCTTCCAGCCAACCCCTCCACCATCTCTCAGAAACTCGTCGCCGAGTTAGCAGCCCAAAACCTTAAACTCTTCTTAGCCGGCCGAAGCCGTTGCCCGGGGATCACCGCTGGGAGGTGAGAGTTTCGGCACATCTATGCTTCCCATCAAAGCATAGTTCATCTCCCCACTTTTACAGGAAGCGCAAATGAAAGATGCGACCTAAACTGCCTCAATAATTCTTAAGAAAAGGGCACTCGCGGCTGGCACACAGCACATTGAATGCAAGCCAGACTTCGAATACCATGGTCACACTGACTACATTTATAAGCTTTTTTAGGAGGAACACAATATCGAAGTTAGTGTGGTAGTTTCTCAAAACCCCAAATACCGTGTAGGTCACAAAACAGGTAGCCAAATAATTTTCAGGAGGTTTGATGATGAAATCAATCTTTTTCAAGCCAGACAATCCACTTTACACACAATTTTATGCGGTTTGCAGCAACAACAGAAATATAGATATACGTAGGACCTCAGATACGTCAATTAGTGCATTTTCACAAATAACCACCACTATGACACCTCATATAAGGTACAAGTTCATGTTGGCTAACCGCACAATTTTGCCGCACAAACATAGCCTAAGATTTTACTGGAAATTAACAATGACACTGATTTTAACTATTTACAAAACCAGGCAAGCACAACTGTAAAACGGCGATTCACAGCAACGACAAGAACGTCGATATACCCAGAGCATCAGATACTTCGGCTGATACACGTTCATTAGAAACCGAATAATATGATAATTCGCGTAGCTAAATAGTTTAAATTTGCAGGCTACACAATGTTGCAAAATATCGACCTACACGTAGATAGCACAAAAACACAGTCGACAATCGTATAAACACACAAGTTTATGTTTTTTTTTTTTTTTTTTTTGGTATGTTGAATGGAGATGGACTAAGCCAATAGATTTGTGGCTTATATGTCCAGATAATAAACTGTCGTAATTTTTGGTCACAATTATGTACAAAACGTAACACAAGTTTATGTTAACTAGCTGCACACCACTTCCACGTGAGTCACGCAAAACATAGCCGGACAAGGGAGTGCTGACAGTGATACTACTTGAATATTTTCCAATAGCGGACAAGCCCAATTGTATAACATGACTTATCCAACTTGCAGCAACGACAAGAAAGCGAATAAACCCAACGCCACACGTGTTTAAATTTCACCATTCACCAGAAACCAAATACTTTGACACCCTGCTTTAAAAAATTTATTCTGGCATGCTGCACTAATACTCAAAAGTACAGATCTAAATGTAGGTACCAAAGAATATAGTCGACAGCTTTATAGCGAGACTGATAATGATACTAATGATTCTCAACATTAGGGAAATAAAATTGAAATTCGTAAGACAGCTTCAAGATTTAGTGTAAATCAGCTACAATCCCATTTTGGGATGGCGTTTAATGCATTTTACAACAACGACGCCAATAAACTCAAGTACTCAGATATAAGCACAGTTTTAAAATGGCGATTTACACAGTTAGCAGCCACAATGCAATAATGCTGATATTGTCACGACATAAAATATTCCAATTGATGCACCATTCACCAACAACTGGAGCAATAGAAATTGTAGAAGAAGCTTTCACTCTGTCAGGGTTGCCAAAACTATTTCTTTAATTTGGGTTTATCCTACACTAATATACATGTTTTTTGTATTATGCGATTTGCAATTTTGGTTTATACCACTCATTATTTTGCAAAAAATGGAAAACAAGCAATAAAGACCATTTATTTTAAAGTTGAAATGAATCTATTAGACAGCCACAAGTGGTAATTTCCAAATTGTAGATCAATTAATATACAAAAAGGGTTTCAATGGTGTCATAAAATTTAAGCAGTTTATGAAGATCAAGAAAATTGTTATTATTTTGTAAGTTAGTTGTTTATATTTACAGTGATTTCTTTAGTTTTGGCTCTAAAACCATATATTTTTCTTTTTCATTTTCCTGTAAAACAATATCGTAGTGCGGCTGCCCATTGTGTTTACCACTTGAGATGTTTTAACCAGAAAACGAAAACGACGACTTATTGTCTCGCCCATCTTCTTCGAAGTTAATCTTTAACATCATTTTTTAAATATTTGACACATCTTTATGTAATATTCTTTGCACTTCTTCCCTATCATACTTTTACGGTTATTGTAGTCAAATATCAATAATTTTTTACGTATTAATTCGCATCACGCATTAACCTTTGTTTAGTGCACAAATTCTTGCGGAAGAAGTTTAAATTAAAGAAGTAATACTTGCGGCATAGGCTGTTTTGACAATATAGAACAATATCTTTTAAAAACTACAAAATAACACGAAATGCTACCAAATTACCACATGCTGAACGGTTTAGCTTGCTCTCCATCGTATGGAGTTGTTCACGTTGTGAAATTGCAAAAGGATGAATACAATTTATAAGAGTAAGAAATTATTTTAATAGCAAGTATTATAAAAACATATAAATACAGCAACAACCACACAAGGTACTATATTTACAGCAACAAAATACATATGTAAAGCAGCTGTCGAAAACGGCGTTGGCATCGCAACCATGGTGAGAAATATATTCCTATGTAAAACAATTCGTATGCCAGAAATAGAAAAAGGTAATCAAATTCCTAATATTGAGTTTGTACTTTGGTAAGGCTGCAGAAGTAAAAAATAATCATGAAAAACTAAGAAAGTGCAATTTTCAAAACTTAAAAATTTAATAGAAAATCAAGATGACTTCTCTCAAGGTACTGCTGCGCTTACCTAAAAATCGGGTCAGCAAATTTTCATTGTATCCTTATCAATTGCCATCATTATGGTATGTTGGACGTGCTACCCTATGCACATCGTCGGCAGTTATACGTAACACGCTTAACAGAGGAAACAATCAACAGGAACTCAAACAAGCCAGATATCTTTTGGCACCGACATTCAAATTGCAAAACTTTAATGCTTTAAATAAATGTAAGCGTTGCTGGTTTGGTACCAAAAATCCCGACCAAGCCAATAAGTCGGACACGAAATCGGCAGCTGTAAATGAAGTAGAATTATTTGGTGACGGTTCGAATTTAAGTCAATTTCAAAAATTGAAATTGATGTATAAGAAATATTGGTATGTCTTGATACCGGTGCATTTGATAACGTCAACCTGTTGGATTGTAGGTTTTTATTACATGATAAAGAGTGGTGTCGATGTTGCCTCTATAATGACGTCTTTACATATTAGCTCAACCATTATTGAAAAAGCAAGCAATTCCCAAGTGGGCCATTGGGCTCTTGCTTATTTATGCTTTAAGGTAGCCACACCTCTACGTTATGCTGTTACTTTGGGTAAGATTTAAGATTACATTATATTGATTATATTTTGTTTATGAATGTTTTGATTTTAAATTACTGTAGGTGGGACTACAGCGGCTATTAGATACCTGGGGCAAGCCGGTTTAATTAAACCGGTGCCCACCAAAAATGAATTTATGCGTATTTATGAGGAGAAAATTGGTAAAAACAGCCCTAACAACTCCAAAAACTCAAGTCAAAAGTCAAAACAATCCGAAGAGGACGATGATGAGAGTGATAAAACAAGTAATAAAAAGCAAGGCAAATGATTATTTACACTGCAATGTAAAGGATAAAATGATTTTGTTGAGTGCATGTTCTATTTATACAGTGGATATAAAATTATGTTTTCCTTTATATTGCCAACTGTTCACCATCATTACACAAGCAGAAACAGAGTATTTCCCTCTCCTTATTAGATTATGTAAAGAGAAGCTATCACCATCATAACAATCAAGAAAGTTGTGAATTTATTTTGTACCACATTTGATATTTTTACGACTGTTTATTTTCAATGCACGTCACAAGCCGTGTTAATATGTAAAAGCTACTTAATGTAAATAAGTGGGACCCTTTTGAGGATTTTCAGTTTTAATTATCGTGAACAACGTGCCTCGACAGGCCACATTTAACGTAACATGGCACCTGTTTGATATGCTTGTGCAGTAAGCCCGTTGTTTATTGTATTTATTGTAAAATTTATGCTTCGTGCACAACTCAAAGAATAATGTACATAAAAAAAACTATCCCTAAAAATAAAAAGAAATTAATATTTTTAAAAACCCTATTATTGTTTATGCAATGATATGAAAAATGGTAAGAGTTTCAAAGCAACGTCGCCTTTGATCTTTAAATAACATAACAAATATAATCTAAGTTCACTGTTATAGTCTCGTGGTTATTTAAGTGTATAAAGTGAATGTTAAGTGTGTATAATAAATCTTATAAAGTAAAGATCGATATCCAACAATGACCATTCACTATAAGTTGCAATTTTCTTGCATTCAACACTGCACGAGGCAGAATAATCGAAAATATGTGAGCAAGACGAGGTCAAGTGATGTTGTAGTCTATTCTTCATGCCATTGTATGATATGTAGGTTTGAGTACCTCGTTAAACATTTTAACGAATTTGGAATATCTTCCGAGTTCAAAAATCTTGCTCATGCGATATTTTTAAAGAAAACCATTCTTAAAGGTTCAAACACAATTTGATTTACAAGATAGTGATTACTAATAAGAAGGAAGAGTGGCAATGCTTCATATAAACGATAGAAAAGCTCAGTAGATTACGCGATGGTATACGCAAATTATGCCGTATGTGTTGGAAGAGAAGTGGACTATAGTGTAACTCAAAGCAAGACTGCTCATGCGAAGAAGCGTTAAAGCTTAAGTTTTTACACCCGATTGCCACCAATAGACAAGCCTAGCTTAAACTTTGCACTATTCAGGTTGGCCTGTCAAAGTTTACGATTCGGATTTCTGCGCTTTGCAAGCATGTTAAACCATCTGTTGTGGGCGTAAAAGTGTATTTTTTACAAACAAAACAATAAATAGTCGATCTCCTTGGCAACTTATTCTATATTGTATTTTATTTGTGGACTTATTAAAAACTTACTTTTATTGAAAAAGTAAAAATTTCTACAGACATAAAAAATACGAATAATAGTTCCGTCAAAAAATAAAAAAAATTAATCTTTAATGGATTTTATTGACGATGATGGACAAATTGATATAGTTTGCCATTCGGCGGGTAGTCAATTTTTCGACCAAGTCATTGGTCATATAGAAGATATTGTGTTAAGCGAGGAGTTCCAAACATTGCACGACTCATTTCTGGATAAATACTGCATGAAATTCGAGAATAAAGAAGAAAATCAATTGGAGCACATGGACATATTCCAGAAATATACTATAACTTTTGAGAAATTCCTTGTAAATGAAGTCACAAAGCACATGAATAACTTTGACATGAAACGATTCGACAAAGAACTACAGTAAGTTCACCAGGAACTCTTTTTCTTTTATTATTTTTTTTTCTTAAATGAGTTTTTTTCTTTTCAGAAGTTATGAAGCAAACGGACAAGATCCTTGGGACTTTAGGGATTCAGAGATTTATGAATTACTGCATTCCTTTCACGATTTTCAAGCATTTAAGGAGCTAATGCTAGATTATCGTAGTAGGAAAGAGGGCAACATACAGCATTTAAATTTTGATATTCTAATTACTAAGCCATTGCTCGACGATTGATCTGATAGATCTTCAGACAATTTTTAAATCGAGTAACCATGCTTAAAATTTAGAGTATATATTTTCATGAATTTTATACCTATTCATATGTATATATATATATATATATCCGAAAGCATATTTAATAAAAATTTTAGATATTTTGGTATTCTTTTTTTTTTTTTTGTTGTTTTAAAAAAGATGATCGTTTTATTTAAAATAGTAATCGTCGAAACAAAACACTTGATAACCACAACCATAAATAAGAAAATGGTCTTTCGCTTTGTAATGCCAGCAAGATACACCCTTTATGTCAGCAATGCAAGAATGAAAGCTTTCTAATATTTCGCCGTTTTTTAAGTTGATTTTGTAAATATTTTGATCTAAACTACCAGTTATGCCATATAAACCGTTTGATAGTATGCAGGCTGCTGTAACTTGAGCCGTGTGCCAAATACTTCGGGAAAATTTGTTTAGAATTTTCCATTGATTGTCATCAGAAAAGCCCAATTCAGTATAACATACAGCCTGATCATCACCGCCTGATAACATTTTCACTGATCTCGTTGCAGCATTATGGTGAACTGCTAAGGCGTTAATTCCGCTTTGATGATGTTTTATTTTATAAATGCATTCACTTAAAGCTGTATTAAAAAATTTGAGGCTACCTTCGGTGCATCCCACGATCACACAATTTTCTTCTTTTATTACCTGCAGCTGTAATATGCATTTATTATAAAATAATTGGGAAATTTGTTGTATTTCAGGGGTATCTGATGCTTTGAAATATAATAATCTTACATAGCCGTCAGAACAACCTATATAAATTTTATATTGACAGTCATCAATCTTTAAAACGTCCAAAGCCATTAAACGGGTCTCCGGTTCATAGTTATATTTATTGTTTGTTAATTGTTTGCGATTCTGTTCCGAATTTCTTATAGTATAGTTTATTAATTCCTCTCGATGGTTTTTTTGAACGTTTACCCGAGTTATGGACAGCTGAGCTCTGCCACCACCAGAAAATATAAACAATTCATAATCTTTTACGTCCACCGCCCGTATGGTTCTTATATTAGAAATATGATTATGTAATTCAAACTTTTGCTTTAAACCTTTTTCGCAAATGTTATGAATCTTTATCAGATTATCTTCTCCTCCGGTTATGGCAATATTTACATTTAAATCGCCTTGCTGGTATATTTCTGCTACGTTGCAAGAACTTGTGTGCCATTTTTTGGCCGTTGGTGATAATAGCAAAGCTGCGTTATAGAGACGACGATAATAAATGACAACTTCTTTATTTTGTATGAAAGCCAAAGTTATAAATTTTTCGTCTGTTTTAGATATGACATAATCCCAGCATCTATGTCCTCCACCGCATGGTATTTGTAAAAGGAAATCATAATTTTTGGACCATGCTACGAAATGATTGTCATTAAATCCTAGTAATATGGGAGAATGTTTAAAAATTTGTACAACATCATCGACCCATGCCACAGGTATATTATCTTTTGTACATAATTTCATAGCGTACTTTTGAAAGTCAACCAAAATTCTATTTAAACAGCTCTTATGTCCACTGCTACACACTAAGGCTTTTGATTCATTTACGAATATTGGCATAAGCTTAGTAGCACCTAAGTTTCCATGTATATTTTTCAAATTATGCTTTAAATTATAAATGTTTTCTTCTTTGTTGTATTTATACAACAGCACATGTCCTTGTCTATTGCTTATCAACAAAATTTGCTCTCCATGTAATAAGAGACCTGCTGTAAGCCAAGGTTCTTTCGATTTTGGTAAATCAAAAAAACATTTGATTTTGTTTCGCATTAACATACAGTTGCCTTGATCGTCGCAGACAAGATATTTACAACTGTCAAAGAATATAAAGCTTCTTATTACACTTTTTAAAATCTCAGCATCATAGATTCTTCTAAATTGCTGATTAATTTCGTTATACAAAAGAATTACTAATCTCTTATAGCCAGCTAGAGCTATAGAATCTTTGTAGATTTCCATTACAGTGCATTTAAAATTTATTGTCTCCTCGATTACGTGACATTTTTGATCGTCAGCAAAATCCCTCCGATCGGATTGCATTTTGATCAAACGATTATTACTAGTTATACCTAGCAGTTCATGTTCATTGAGAAATTTAATTTTTGCAATGTATTCTGTAGTGTTTTTTGATAAGATTTTTGGTTTCAGTAATAATTTCATATGTTGTTTAAATAGATCCTTCAAATCATACGCTAATAGATTTCCACAAGCGCCGACCGTATAAACGGTTCTCGTGTCAGAATCGTAAGCTATATTCCATATAACAGCCCCATATTGCTGATGTCTCTTAAATAGTAATTCTCCACTACTAAGCCATAAACACAAGTAGGAATCTTCACCCACACTTACAGCATAAATTTCTGTACCTTAAAAGTTTTAAAAGCTAAATAATTATATAAAGCCTTTTAGATCAAGTTGTTCACTAACCTTCCATAAAAATGAGCCCACGAAATACTCTGGCAACGTGACCATAGCTACTAGCCAATGACTGCAAATGACTTGTCGACCAATTATGTTTGTCCTTCTTTACTTTCCACCATTTCAATGCTCGATCATCGCTGGTCGTAATTAAAATTTCACTTTGTGCATTATAATCGATAGAGAATATAACACCGTTATGTGCGTTAATACGGTGCAGTAAAAATGAATTTCTTAAATTTTCTTTGTTTTCGTTGATATGAATTAAACTTGGTTGCCAAATTAATAATTCGCCGAACGCATTACCAGAAAATATTATTAAGTCGTCCCATAAAGAACCGTATAAATGGGTGCAGTAAAGCGTAGATTTGTCATCAGCACACGTTACCCTTTCCAACAAATCACAAGTTTTTTGTTTCCAATCATATTGAAATCGTAAGATAACACTGTGTGCTGTTAGCAAAGCTATTTGAGCATTATCTAGGAGAATGGCACCACTAATCCAATCGGTTAATTGAGCTCGATAGAATTCTTCAAATTCGTCGCAATCGGTTTTCCATTGGACTAAAATAAATTCCATTTCCCCGTAAATTAATAAAATATTGGTATTATAATATTCTATCCCGTGAATTTTGTTCCTTAATTTGACATTCAAGACATCCTCAACAATTGACTCATCAACACGTTTATACAAATGTAATTCATTGCCTTTCCCTTTAACATATATAATGATAATAACAAATTATTAATTGGTTTTGATTTTCTTTATTTGTTTATTTACCAGTTACTATTGTATTTTTATTTAATAACTTTATCGCTATTGCGTCAGCGACCGTTTCTATTATTTTAACCATCTCTGTTTCTTTTTTATTTTGTGGGGAACTAAACAAACAACAGTTATAGCTTAGCTAAATAACTCAGAGATTTTAATATCAGCTGTTTTAACTCTAAGTAACTTAAGCATTTGAAGCTACAAATAGTTCACAACGACATACGATGGCCTTACCATATTCTTAAAGAAGTCGAATTAGCAAACATTCAGGCACAACCGATACACGAAACATAACAGATGTTTATTAATTAATATATATGTTTATTAATCATATATATATATATAAAAAGCGTCTTGGCGGTGAATACCACTTTTTCAAACGACAATATTGCTGGAATCTTTCCAAGAACATTTAGATGAATATATTTGGCCCATATCTGACCATGAAGGATACCTAAAATAATGTAAGAAAGTGCCCGCAATCTTTTGATATGCGACATATAATAATATAAAGTTTTTGGAAAGCCATTCTGCAAACGTGGGGGAAAGGATGGTTTTCGTTTCGGTTAAATGTAGGCTTTCCCTCACATTTGTACAAGGTTTTCTATATCGAATATGGACTGCGATTGCTTAAATATTTAGCTGATTATAACGCTATAGAGATCTTTTTTTCCTTTCCTACAACGAATGTATACCTTTATAATCCGTCCATTTGTCCTTATTATGCATGTGTATTTGCTATAATAATTTATTTTAGAAAATATTGTTGTCATTTTGTCGAGTCGTTTCATCCCAACCTAATTTCATATTACATATACTCTGAAGAAGTGGACACACTTAACTGGTTAACTCTACGCAACATCATTTATGATACATGCAAAGTAGTATAGGATAATTTAATGACTATATGCCTAACGGGTCCTAACCTAACTATAAATAGGAGAAAACAGTTGAGGGCTTTACCAACATGTAGAAGTTGTTACTTATTGATACAACAGATGAAAAACTCCTAATTGCTGTTCATCCCTAAACTCTGAAACACTCTTCTTCTTCTTTATGTAATTATTGCATTATTAATGTAAATGCGTATGAGGACAAATTAGTGAATGCGCTTTTCAATATCGTTCTATAGGTGCATTTTTTATACCGTGATTAGGAGCCTATGGTACAAATTATGCTTTAGCTTGGGGAGCTTAAGAAAAATATTTACCTACAAATGGGATAATACCCAACTGAAGACTTTACCAAAACTCAAATGTTCGCATATTTGATGCCTGAAATATTTGAAAAGGTTAGAATTTATTAAGTCGGGACCGACTTTTTCTATTTCTGTACAGGTACTTCTACCATCACTTATAGAATACGCGTTTAACTGTTGCAGTTTGTGAGTAACAAGTATAAAATATTTGGGTTTGCTTTTGGAAAACCGAGATGTCCTCAATTTACGTGGTACTGAAGGCGCGTCCTGCGATCGACTTAGCCTATTTCTAATACCAATCTGCATGCAAAAACTTGCAAGGTTTCTGCCAATTTAAAGGCAATAGCTTCATTTTTGTAGCTGGGAGAGTGTTTGCAGCAGATATACAGACGGATAGATGAATAGGTTTAAATCGATTTAGAATTTGATACTGATCAAAAACATATATGCGATACGACGTTTCTACAGCCTCCTTCCGGGTGTTGCAATCGTTTTGACAAAATGATTATAGCTCTTCTGTTTTGGTGATGGATATAAATATTAAATTTGAAATAATTCGCCTTCTTTTCTTGCTTCGTGTTCTTTATTTTTCTGTAAAATAACTTACGGAACATATGAAATGGTAATCCAAAAAAGTATTAAAATAACACAATGTATTATAAAAATGTAATTTAATACACACAGAACTAGTACATTTGAAATAAATTGACTTCATTATTCCGTACACCACTTGTGATACGTTCGTATGTAACACGTAGAAGTGAGATAGATAGTGAGTAAGATAGACCCACTTCTTATTACACCGATCAATTCGAATCATTTTCTAATTCGTCAGCCTGTCCGTCCATCCCCCTATCTGTTTGATGTCTATCCATGTAAATTTGTGTTGAAGCTGCAGATCGTAGACGATGTAGGCTACTTAATGATGAGCCGTTGCCTCGATCTACGGGTTTTACTTGTTTAACAAAGGAATACTTAATGAAAATTACCCTTTTTTCCTTACGACGCTGCTATAAATTCAAACTTCAGTTTTTGTTAAATTCATCCTTAAGTTAGTACGTATGTTCAAGTTATACAAATTTGAAAATAAATATTCATTTTAATTACATTCTAAATTCATCCATGGGATGAATCATTAGCAAGTTACGTTGATAGCATTTTTGAAAATATTTGATCCATGTATCGCAGCTATGAATTTTTCAATTTTGTCTTCATTCAAAAAAAAACTCACAACACAGTTTAATAGGATATACGTGAATACACTTTCTGCGGTAACAGCATGCATACATACAAATACAAAAGTTCCACAAAGGATGAATCTTTGACATTCAACAAATCAGAAAAATTATGAAATTTCTCGGTATATGTTGGCGAGATTTTAGATGGATCATACTTGTTTTCCAAATTGATCTGTAACCATCAACTAAAACAGGTAAGCTTGCTACAATCGGGCAATGCCGATCTTTAGATACGTAACATTACTTTGTTTAATTAATAATATACCAAAAATTATATATTATTTTTATGTAAATGCAAAATTTTTATGAAGCGCTCATATTGGATAGGATAATCAAACGTCTACGTGGTCTAAATTTAGCCTGTCAAAATGTTTCCAGTTACGATCGTCATAATAAACCGCAAATTAGGCTTCGCTGCGTAGAGTTTGTTTTCATTAGAGCTTTCTTATGCAGTGCGGTCTAAAATATACATCTATGTGATTCCTGATGAATTTACTATAATTAATTTACTACGGAAATTGTTTTCATAAAATTTTATTCATAAAATATAATAAAAAATGAACCTTTTGGCATATAAAGCTTAATTTTTTATTAGAAACAAACTTGCTTAGTCCAAATTCGTTAAGTTTAATTTAAAGTAGAAAAGAATTATTGAAAATTAGACGTTTTTACCAAGATATAAAGATTTAGTTTTCATAGGAACTGTTATTTGGTGAAAAATTCAAAATATTGCCCCATCCGATCTTCACTTTCCTCACCAATTTATAATGCCAAAACACTATCACTAAGCAATTTCTGTCGCGAAATTTTAAAATCTACAATATTTTCTCTCATAATGACTTATCAAAATAAAGGATGACATGCGGAGTGATCGAACTATTTATAATAGCGTTCATTCTTGGACTAAAACAGGTCAGTGTATCAAATTTCGTCAAAATATATCGAAAATTGTGAGCTATAGGTTGAACATAAGTATAAAGCGGACGTAAAGACAGACAGACAAGCTTAGCGATCGTGATAATAAAAGTTGCGTCTATTTCAAGTCCTTCTGGGTGTTACAACCGCCCTTTCGTTCAAACTTAATATACCTTCTCCGCTTATAAAACTAAATCTAAATAAATGTAAGAAGCTTTCTTTCTCAAGAAGAAAGTCATTCACTACTCAGTATTTCATTGATTCGCATAAGTTGGAGGACGCCGATACGTTCACAGATTTAGGCGTTTTGTTTCACCATACATTACGTTTTAACTTGCATATCGAGCTCTCGTATCGAGCAAAGCTTAACGCTTGGTTTTATAAAGAGTTTAATGATCCTTACATTGCCAAAAGGCAGTACATGTGTACCTCTGTTGTGTGGTGCTATGTAGATTCAATTGAATCTGTTCAAAAGCAATTGTTGCTTATTGCCCTTAGGAGTTTGGGTTGGGATCCGATTGCCTCTCTTCCTCCGTATGAAAATAGGTTGCTTCTGTTGTCCTTACCGTCTCTCGAGAAACGTAGATTTGTTCTTGGCGTTTCCTTCGTAATCAAAGTAATAAATGGTGCTATTGACTCGCCTGTATTGCTTGGTGAAAAAAGCTTTAATGTTCCTAACCGCTTCTTTAGGCACTTCTTCTCTTCTCTTCACTATCTTGGTTAAGCCTAGTCAATGTAAATGTAGTTATGAGCTGTTGAAGCCGCTCAGAGTAGTTTGCAAGAACCTAAATGATGTCTATCACTTATTCTCATTATCGGACTCTTTAAAGTCCATTAAAGCTACATTGCTTAATACGCGTGATTTACCTAAGTCTTACTTCAACTAGCTCTTAACCTTACAAAGTCATTATGATTCGAAAATTAATTGTTGTTAACTATTATCGGTTGCCAAGTTTATGCATGTTTTTGCGATGGCTTAGGGGTTCATTTGCAATTTGGTCCTGTCCTGATGCTAGTTGTGTACATGTTTTTTTTCATTTTTCTTCCTTCTTATTTGTTTTATTATATTTGTACTAAGTTTTAATATTAATTAATTTAAGATTTACTTTAAGAGTCCATTGAACTCGTCTGTCAATTTTTTTTTAGTTGAGCTCCATGTATAAGCAGAATAAATAAATACAGAAATAAATTAATAAAATAAATACACTGTACCCCATGTAGCGTAGGGTATATACGAACATGATTTTAAAGAAAGTAAGATAAACAGGCCATATGTTCGTGAACAGTAACATTGAACACCAATTAATACTCTAACTATTATTGTAGGTTACAGTGCACTAATGTGTTATGGTCAGCAATAAACATAAACTCAATTCATTGTGTCTAGAGGACATAATTGATTTCAATAGGCATTTAGTGATGTCATTCTTTGATTTTGCATGTCTTTTTCTATACTCCTAAATAAGTTTTAAAAGGATGGAACGCAGACAGGCCACTTGCTTCCCTATAGAAAGACACGGTTTTTTTTTTTTTGAATAATGCACTTTGTAAAGCAACTTTGTTGTGAATGTAAAAACTCATACAAACATAAAAGCTTAGCAATTCATAATACATTAATATTATGATTAAATAGCGAAAAAACAAAAGATCATTTTTGCAATGCTATGGATTTCTCAAAATATTCATTGTCAATTTTATAGAAAATTCTTGATAAAAAAGCTTTTATTTACT